ACTATGAAGATAAAACCAAAAAATTTTCAGATATAATTATTAATAAATTTTTAAATTTGATTTTATGTATTCAAATTAAGAAAAGAGTCCAGGTCCCAAGTGCTGGGATTACATGTGCACACCACCACACCACACCCCGGAGGCAGGGCCTGCACTGCAGACCTGAGGATCAAACTCCTGGCCCCTGCATCTTAACAGACACTTTAATCCGCTGAGCTATTTGGCCGGCCCTCTGCTGGTCTATTAAATGGAGCAGTTAATGTTTAAATTATTTTTCTTTTTTTTTTCAACTCTGCATGTTTATATCTGGTAATCTAAACAACTAATCTGAAGATAATAATATGTAATACAAAAAAAAAAAAAAAAAAAGAAAAGAGTCCAGGACTGGGACTATATATATATATACATATATATGTGGTGGTGTGCACATGTAATCCCAGCACTTGGGACCTATATATATCTGATTGGAAGAGTCTTGTATGTAGAAGGTCCTGGGTTTGATCCTACAAAGAAAGAAAAAAAATAATAATAAAGGAAAGAAAAAAGAAAAAGATAAGATAAGATAGATTCCAAAGCTATACTCAAAAGAAGATCCATAGTAAATTAAACATTCTGTTATAAAGATGTTAAGGAATATGTCTAGATGCTCTCCCAAAGCCTCACAGCAACATAGGTGGAGCTTTGCAGAGGTGGCTGGATCTAGCTTGTGTGATGCAGGGATTAAGTATGTGATGCTGGGACTGAGGGTGTGTGATTTCTAAATTAGTTCATTGATTGGTTTGACATAGTTCTGGGTATGGATAATGGGAAGCCCCACACTGGGCATGACTGCTACTGCTCTAAGGGTATGTAGCTTAGACAGAATATGAGGGACAGAAGCAGTGCTGCTATTGCAACTTGCTGCTGGTCTCTTGTTGGCTTGATGTCTCCTGCGTGCAGTGAAGATTTCCTCACTGAACTATACCTTGACATGCCATTCTGCTTTGGAGCCAGCAAACTATGAACCAAAACCTCTATGAACTGTGAGCTGCAATTTTAACTTTGGGTGTCAGGTATTCTTTCTACAATGATAAAAGCAGCTCAGACAAAATGAAAAGGGAGAAATTACCAAAAAAAAAGCCAACCCCAGTAATACTGCTTAAGCTCTTCCATGACACTAGAAGTGTGGTAGTATTGTCAAAGGCACTCCTAGTGACTAACATTACTCTGATACCAAAACTCCACAAAGACTGGGGCCAATCTCCTCAATGAACATAGGTACAAATGCAGTTCAACTAGTCATCAGAAAGGCTTACACTGAAACGGGTTGTTTTCATCCCAGGGATGCAAGGATGGTTCGATATCAGCAAATCAATAAATGGAACATTACAAATAAACAGAAGTAAGGACAAAAGTCACATGACCATTGAAATAGATGTAGAAAATGTGGTGATGGAGTGGGGACATGTGGATGGGAGAGATGGGGAGGAAGAGGAAGTAAAAAGGATCAAGATTTGATTTGTATGTATCCCCATTTTGCACAATAAATGCAAGTAAATGCATTTACTTTGTACTGGAAACATACCAATAGAAAAGAAAAAAGATAAATACATTAAAAGAATGGCATCTTTAAACCAAAAGGTAACATAAAGAAAATAGGAGACAGACATATGTTGGAATCGAGAAATAAATCCAAAATGGCTTTATCATTATCGACAAATCTAGTGGCAGACTTTGACAAAGCTTATTTGAAAGAGAAAGAATCTAGTGTAATAGAATCATGATTTGAAAACTATACTTTTGTTTTGTTTTCTGTTTGGTTGCCCTGGCTGGCCTCAAACTCTGATGCTCCTGCCTCTGCCTCCCACGGGCTGAGATGATTGCAGATGCATGTTTCTCTGCCGGGTTTTCACTTTGTGGATATGTGGCATTGCCCTGACCAGTCTAAAACATCCTCCTGAGGATGATGGAGACAGCAAGCCTTTCTAATAAAAGAATGTGAAGATCAAGGGTAAGGTATTGTTGGATAAGTAATAGAGTTCATGGCAGCTCCAAGTGATTTACCAAATTCCTTATTAACCTCTTTTAGGACATTAAACATCTTTCCTGGAAGACTCAGCTCCTTGACTCGTCATGGTCCTGCCCCTTCGATCTCAACAAGTTACCATGAAAGCTTACACCTGAGTCAGGCTTTGAGGTTTAAGTCAGCATAGAAAACATGATGGAAGGGAACCCATGCATTTCCAGCATGGCATAACTATGGAAGGAAGATAAATGCAGAGAAAAATTGGGACATGGAGAGAGAATGGAAGGAACAATACCAAGGTAACATTAAGTTTAATAGCAAGAACAAGAGGGAATTTTGCCTCCTGTTCCTCTGATTACAATTGTAGAAACAGACACCTTCTTAGGCAATCCCCTCTCTTGAAACCAACCTAAGAGTAGGGTCTCATTTATTTGATGTGGCAAGTAGAAGAGGGCTTGATATTGAATTTTCCTGATTCTTTTATGTTTAGATGGGGCCCAAGGAAGAGAAAATTTTCCCCAGTGCCCAAGAGAACTCATCTGCGATCCGTGGGCACCAGAGGTGGCCAGGGAACATCAGCAGGGAAGGGGCCTAAGGGCAAGAAAAAAACCACAAGCCACAGGTGTCCCAACTCGCTGCTCACAGGTTACTTGGCCACCAGAGGGAAGTTCACTCTGGAGATTGCAGTCATCAAAGTAACCTATATTGTTGAACTCCAACTCTTACCTCTACCACTACCTCATCAAAGCCCCTGGGAGGCTCTCATAGATCTAGAAGTCATCTTCAAATGAGAAAAGATGGAGAGAGACATCTGTGCAATGCTACCAAAGAGAGGAAAAAGAGTTGCTTACTTTGTCACATCTAAGTACACACACACACACACACACACTCACAGAAGTTGCCCAGTATTTGTGAAAGGCTGCACAGCCAATATATTAACAGGGTGGGATTCTGGATCCCTGTGTCCTGGCTGCACCCTTTATTAACTCTTTGACTTTGGCTGAGTGACTTACTCGCTGGATGCTACAGTTTCTTCAAGCATAAATTAAGGGTAATAGTTTCTCTTAGTATTTTGTAAGCATTAAGTGAGTTAATAAATATTAAGTGCTTAGCTCAGTGTCTGGCCCTTAAGAAGAATTCATTAATTGTTAGCTACCCTTAGCATCATTAAGAGGAAGATAAGACCAGCTACAGAAAAATCAAGAGGCTGCAATTTCTCCACACAACCAAGTAGAATGGTGACTTAAAGTCCACACTTATGTACATAAATAATCAAAATCATAAACGATAAAGAGCATAGAAAATAAATCAAAAGACAAAGAAGTTTTTACAAACACAGCCATATGGTTTGAAATGAAAAAAATATTAAAACAAAATATATTCAATAAAAATATAAATTACCTATATCAGTTCAAGAAAAATGCCAACTCAAAAAGAAGCATACCAAAGGAAGCTGAAAAATTCATCAAAGAATTGTCTATAACAAGACCTAGGAACAGATCATTTAATGAGTACAGGCTCCCAAACTTTCTGAAAGGGACAAATACTGAACTCAGCAGAAGACACACTGCTAGCAGGTCACCAAGAAAGCCAGGCCACCTGCATACACAGATGGGCATAAAATAAAAATACAGGCCACTATTTCCCTCAAAAGCTTCAGCTGCTGTAGGACTCATTTTTCTGTGCCTCTAACATACTACGAAATTCCAGTGAGGGGATGGTTGCAGGTCACACTGTCTCTCGCTGTGGAATTTTTCTATGTACTGCAGGCTTTCTCAGGGCCAGGCCAGATCCACCTGGGAGGGGTCCTCCAGTCATGCAGTCAGAAGATTAGATGGATCCATGTGTCAAGAATATTCATAAGGACACAGGGAAGGAAAGGAATGCACAGGAGATAAAAAGAGGAGAAAGACCAAACACAAGATTGCAATAACAATAGCAATGCTAAAGAGCGGTTCCGTCCAGTCGGCAAAAGCATGAATTGATTCAATTCTTCTAGGAAATGTGATTTAAAATCTTAAGTGCACACACTTTGACTTAATAATACAACTTTTATCAATGCAGCCTATGGAATTAATGTGAAGTGAAGATAGATTTACATGCAAACACGAACTTAATAGACTTTTTTACAACACAAAAGCAGAAAGCAACCTACATGTCTAAAAATGAGAACAGCTAAACAGATTAGAGAACTTTATATAATGACTCATACAATAATTAAAAGTGATGTTTTGGAAAAATTTAACGGAATGCACAAGACTACAATTGTTTAGGGGGAGAGGTGGAGCATAGCTGCAAAGTAAAATCTAAAGTATATTTGGGGCTGGGAAGATAGCTCAGTAGACTAAGTGCTTGCCTGGCAAGCGCAAGGTCCTGAGTTCAATCCTTGGTACTGCAAATAATAATAATTAATAAAATTTATTGGTAAAATATACTTCACGAAAAGAAAGCAGACTAAAAGCAGCTTGAACGTGGTGGGTGGGTATCGTGACTCTGAGTAAATGTGCTTCCGTTTTATATATTTCCCCTATTATCTTAACTCTCTACCTTATGTGGTATTATCTTTACAACCAGCAAAAAAATATACAAAGCAAATAATTGTTGAATAGGGATAAATATTCATTAAAAAAAAAAAAAAGGCCTCATTCCCCAAGGACAAAAACACTCTTAGTACAAGGAAGAATTCCCTTCCTCCAAATCCAGTACAGAAAACAAAACTCAAACAACCAAATCTCTCAAGAAAGACAGGCTGAACCGCTTCTCCGCGGGGTTTCCACACTCAGCACCCATTTTTCAAGTGTAGCTGTTTTAGTATCTGCCTCGGTTTCGAAAAACAGTAGCTTCAGGGAGCAGGAAGTTTTATGCTCGCCGGCGTGCGCGAGAACGAGCTCGCGCGCGCGCACACACACACACGCACACACACACGTGTGCGCGCAGTTGCACACTCAGACGTGGCTCCAGGCAGACAACTCGAGCAGGTCCAGCTCCTCGGTACCTGTTCGTGGTGCGAGGCACCCGAGTCGCAGGGCTCCGGAGCGTCCTCAACGCGGGTGAGGTGCCATGGGTGTTCCTCCTGCTCTCCTCCACCAGGAGCCTGCACGGTGAGGGAGAAAACTAAGTTGTTAGACCCCGCGGGGAGCCGCCAGCTGTCAGGTTGGGCGCTGCTCGCTAAGCCTGGAGGGCCATCGTCAGGCACCCCGACTTCAGGGGCAGTACCCCACCCACGGACTT